TGTGTGAGGAGGAGAAGGAGGCAATCCACACCTGCACTCTCACCACACGGTGTAATAAATGGTGTAATAAATAGCTAAACTGACACCTTCAGTCATTGTGTGCGTCACCAAATTTTCAGGTGATAAAGAGAACAACTGCCAAAGCTTCATTGGAATAAGCAATCTGATTGTTAAGAGCTACTTACACCAAACCCCAGGAAGATGCTCTCAAGCAAATTTGAACGACTTCAGAGGGCAGATCCTCCAAGAACAGTTTGTCACCAGCCCACAAGGCTCTCAGTGCCAGCTCCCTCAGCAGGACTGAGCTGATGCTTTTGGTATGCTCTTGTTCTAATTTGCATGTCCTGACAATCTGTAATTAATAGCAGCTTATCACCAGCTTAGTGGTAATGACCCAAGACAAAGGCAAGGCTGTGAAAAGCATCCACCTTGCAGAACAACTTGTCATTTCTTTTCCCCTCTCTAAATGAGAGTTGTACACTAAAGGCTTCTGCTCAGGAGTACAGCACGAGGCTGATAAAATGCTACCAGACACATAATACAGAAGGGAGGGCCTTACTAGCAGGTGATAAGGAGAGGACTACGGCCCCCGAACCTCCCGGGTCTGAGAGGTAAAGAGGAGTGACTCCTACTTAAACTAATTCAGCTGAGACTGGCCCATAAGGGAGTTATGGTCATTTTTCAGTAACCAAAAATTAAGCTTTTACTTATCTAGTTTGTTTTGCATGTTATAGGTATTTTAAGATAATAATCCAACGTGCAGTTTTGCCCCTACCAGTCTGTGCCTGTATGGCAAGAGCCCTGCAGACACACCAATCGTGCTGTTAAGTAGAGCACTCCTCACATCCATAGAGATTAAAATACATACAAGGAAAGGACCTCCCAGTGTTACAGCTTGTGCAACAGATCCTGCATGACTCCAGGTGCTTAGCATCCTTACAGCTTGATCGAGATGCCTGAAAGCGCAGGCTAGATTTACACTTTTACTGTCCATGTTTTAACCACCTCCACGTTTCCGATGTAGCAGCATGACAACTCAGTGTGCAGCCCCTGGGTCTGCATGAGCTGTTTACGCTGCTGAGGATGGTGGTGGGAGAGGCTGAAACAAGTCACAGCGGGGTTTGTTTTCCCCCCTTACTGCCCACAAAGCAGAACAAACCACGGTGCTTGCTAGTCGTAAGTTTGGAAGACTGCAGCTTGGTTTGGGAGGTGGGATGGGACATGTGCATGAAACCCTGTGCCAATGCAAAACAAATTTGTAGCTGGCAATTGTGGGCTCGTACATCCTAGTTTTCTCTGCTGTCCTGCCACGCCTTCCAGCCTTGGAAAAGTATGTGGGTTTTCGCTCGTCATCGCCAAGTTCACTCCAGTTCCACACCTCTGTGCTGTCTTCTCAAAGGATGGGGGGGTGTTATTCCCCAAATTCGTGCAAAGTGAACCGAGGTTACCGAGACGGTCAGGCAGTAACCCCTCCTGCCCTCTCCCACGCCTCT